CCTTAACAGACTGGGAGCATTCAAATGTAGATCTGCCAAGCTGGCTACCTTGGAATTCAGAAAATTTGTGACACTGAGGGGCACGGTGCACGGGGGCACGGGTGAGGGGCACTTAGGGGCATTATTATGCGGCGTATACACGCATGCCTAATTGAATACGTGCAGTGTACCGTGACTAATGCTAACAGCCCCTTCCAAATCATATACGTTTTTTCCGCAGAGCAATAATGTATGCGGCAAAGATAGATTAAGCATTGATTGATTTGTGGGGTTTAACGTCCCAAAACCACCATATGATTATGAGAGACGCCGTAGTGGAGGACTCCGGAAATTTTGACCACCTAGGGTTCTTTAACGTGCACCCAAATCTGAGCACACGAGCCTCGATATTTCCGCCTCCATCGGAAATGCAGCCGCCGCAGCATATATATATGAAAAACGCTAGAAAAAATCCCCCCCCCCCCCCAAAAGACTCCGGCGCATGGAATCGAACGTGGGACCTCCGCGACGTGAATGCGAGGCGTTAACCACTGAGCCACCAAGAAGTACCTCCTTCAACGTTCAAACGGCAGGCTATTCATATCTACCACTTACCCCTGTTGACAGGCATCTCGTGGGGAACTATGGTGTTTTCAGCATTATCAGCAAGATGGCGCAGTGAGCGTGCAGCGGTTCTCATCTCTCACGCGTGATTTGGCCTGTGTAGAGAATAAGGGAATGTATGCTCGATAGCGCCCTTATCTTGCAGTGGGGAGAATCGTACATCTTGGCTAGCCTTTGAGTTTGTCAGAACAATTTTGTTGTAGTTACCAGCACACAAAGGTCACTGCAATCATTGCACAGCCTTCATTTGCGAAAAGGGTGCTGCGCTTTTCAGACATATTGAAGTAACAACCGAGACGCTTATTCGTGTTAATCTGTACCTGTGGGTACGTTTTGTGCATCCTTTGTGCATGAGAAACGCAGGGCACATTTCGAATCTGCTTGCCATTCTCCAATTTGTTGATATTGCATTCATTGCTTCGGCTTTGCGGCAAAACTGCGACTTTTTTCAGCATTATCCTGAAACAGAGCCATGAAGCCAACTTTTTTATTGAAACCTGCTTCAGAATACAGTAAATTCTTTAAAAACTTTATATCCAACTACAAGATGTATCGAACCAATATTCAAAAGTTTGATATGAACGGGTTCGACTGAGTACATCTGGTCATTATTTTGAATACCCTTCAACCAACTTTCATTGAACACCCTAAGAAATTGGAACTAGTTGTCAAGCGAATATTGAATAATTCAATATGCAGTTCAACCCCTCTATAAAGGACATACACCAGACAGCAGTGCCGTCTTTTATATGAGGTGTGCATTTGCGCATTTTTTTAACAGCTATTTCAATGAAGGCAAACTGGTGTCCCTTATACTCATTTATCTCTTACATCAGTGTCTAATAAAATGGGTTTGACTTCAAAGCATTTGAAGAATTCATATTTCTGTGCAAACCTCTATACTTATTGTTGCTACCACAAGACGATGCAATGTGTCCATGCTAAAAAAAAAAAAGCTATCAAGGTCATGACGTGCAGAAACAAAGAGACTTATCTTCGTGCCCCTTTGTCATTTGCCTGCTTGCGCAGTTTTCAGTGTGCTCTCTAATATGAAAAGAGAGAAGGTGCTTAAAGCATTCAGCAAATCTCTATAGGTCTCCTCATACTTGAAATTCTAAAAGCTATTTATGTACTATCTAGTAAAGGTTAGTTATTTTAGAATTCTAGATAAAAAAATATTCAGATAATTAAAACTTGCTGCTGAGAACTGGGTGTTTATGCCAATAGTAACAACTGAAAAACGCATGGCACGAATAAAAACTGCCTTAGTAGGTATGTAATAAGTAGAGACCGGAATTTTAGGCACGAAAAAAGAATGTTTTGGGTGCTTATAATAGACCCTAAAAACTTCCATTTAGGCATAAATAGGCATTAAAAACTATCATTTAGGCATATATAGGCACAATTCATAATTCAATAGCATGCTCAGGACAATATTCAACTTTTAACAAACACAGCAGGCAAATTCTGTGCTTTAGGAAACTAAATTTATATTTGCCATGAAAAGGAATAGCAAGAAGCACAGTACTTCAATAGCGTGCTCAGGACAAATATTCAACTTTTAACAAACACAGGGCAAATTCTGTGCTTTAGGAAAACTGAATTTATATTTGCCATGAAAAGGAATAGCAAGAAGCACAACCATTTGAACAGATTTAGGTGAAAGCTGAGGTAATTTTACATTGTGGGAAAAGCTATAAATGGTTTTCGGCCTTGAATTGTGCTTGCTTTCAGTCAGTATTTGCTTTTATGCGAAAAAGAAGGCTCGACGCCCACTTGCCTTAATTGAAGCATTAAAAGGCCTAGCACTTTTAATGCTTAAATTACACCAGAATATTTGAATCAGCACCACTCGAAACTTTGCTTTAGCAGTACAATCTAGGATTCTTTCCAAGGCAGATTCAAGCTTTGAGGCAATCCTGTCAGTGCAGGTCTATTGGCGAGGAGGCGAACCTTCCTGCACGTCCGAAAAAAAAAAAAGGGTATCCTTAAACTTCCCCTTTAAGCGTTGAACGCGATATTGATCCTGTCCCTGATGTATACTTCCACCACTTAGTGAATACCTTTATTGCATGATGTTACTCGACAAGTTTAAATTGTGGATTACCATACAGTATAATCGACTAAGTCGAAGTGGCTTTTGTCAGTGAAGCTTTCACATGTGGCTGCTGCATTTTGTGTAATAAATGCATGCGAGTTCACAGATGTTGATATAAAAATACAAAATGAATCTGTGTGCCCGTGCAATGACCACAAAATACATGTTATTTTGCGCAGATTCAGGGGTTATTTAAATGAATTGGCAGTTCCGTAACCAATTTTGGAAGCTTTATGCCTCTGCGTGCTTCAGAGTGGACATAAAACTTAAAATATTGTTGATCTTTCCAATTTCTTCTCCCCGGCTTCTCACATAGACCTTTTCTCGATTGATGGAGTAGTGCTGTGATCCACTGGTCCATTGCCTGAGAAGGTCATTCTACGGCTCCTCTTTATTCCGCATTACTCGGCAGACTTTGGGCAGCTGCCGTTATGAAAAACATAAATGCCAACAAAAACTTATGTGTAGGCTGCAGTCGGCAGTGCTAGGCTAGCTTAGTTTCGGCTGATTAGCGTACATTCTAAATACACTATACTATAGCCTCCCAAATGCAACCGCCGAGCTGCACTACTCTCAAACCAAGCGACGGAAATTTTTTTTTTTGGGGGGGGGGGGGGGGGTGCTAGCACTATAGGTGCTAGCCTCGCTTTTCCAGCTCACGTAAAAGCGCGTTTAAGTGCGATGTTATCGGAGCGTTAGCAAACATCACACACGTCGGAGCGCATTGGCAGAGTCTAGATATACGTTAGCTGTGGCAGTGCATCGACTTATGATCTGTTTCATCATATAACTCAGCGTATGCGCGCGTCGACCCTACATCAAACCATAATCGTACGTGACCAGTAGCGAAAAACTAATGAAGAAAAAACAAAAAATAGCGCACTATGCATGTGTTGTCGGCCACACCAAGTGCTTCTTGTTTTCCTCCATATGAAGAGCTCATTTGAACACAACGTTTACTCGGCGAACGTGAAAAGGCATTTTTAGGCACTGAAAAGCTCGTATAGGCACGAACCTCAATATAGGCACTTGTAAGCACAATAAATATACGATTAAAACGTTTCCCATCCCTTAGTTCGTGCTTATATGAAAAATAGGCTCGAAACGGACGCCACGAAAAAAAAAGGCATTTTGTCTAAAGTTCTGGATTTTAGTAATAGGCACAATGCATTTTAATAACTGCAGCATCTCCAAGCGAAATTGAGTTGTTATAAAACCACTACACCCTGCAAAGTTAGTTTTCAAACAAGGCCTACAGGATAAATCTACTACGAAGTCTTGGTTACAACAGCATTTATTCGAGGCAATATTTTGGAAAACAAACGGCAGAGCCTGCACCCAGTTGAAGATGATGATCACACAGTGGCAATGAGGACCAAGAGACAAGCGGATGATGGTGATGATCATGCAGAGATGAGGACAAAGTAATCAACAAACGCCCACAATACCATTCTGCTAATTTACTCTAGTTCACTTCTGCAGGTATAAAAGACAAGGAAGATATTCATAATTCATGAACAAAATAAGTAGAAAACTCATTTTTGAAGTAGTCTTGAATAAGCAGGCACAGCGAAAAATTTTTGTGGCCATGAATTTGTGCGAAAATGAACTTCGATTGTGAGGTCCTTCAATAATCACTTGAATAAACATGTTGCAGGGGCTTCCTTAATCAGCTAGTAAATGGTACTGTCGTATTATAGTTATCATTGACAGTTAAACAATATTTTTATGACTTCTGCTTATTTAAAAAAAACTGATATTTTAATTTATAATATTTGGAGAATAAATTAAACATAAAAATAAGTCATGCCTATGAAACTAAAACATTACCATATTTTAATAAACATATTGTTTGGTGCAAAATTTTTTTTCAAGTGGTACGACAGCTTGTGGCTAATTTCAGTTTTACTTGTATCGTTGACTTGTTGAGAAAATTTCATACATGAAAATTTGAATGGAAAACACTTTGATGATTCAGCATACATTTTAGTGCCATATTACGAGTATATTTTTCTTTGAGAAATAAACAGCATGCTTTCCACTACACACTTATCCACTAAGTCATGGACAGAATGTTTACATTAAATCACTGGCACGCTGAAGAGGTGGTGCTGTCAAAGAAATGGAAAGAAAAGCAAGGCATTTTGAAAAGAGCACTGTAACTGAATTTACCTACAACTTCTTGCAACTGCATCAGTCTATAATAAATAAAGCAAAATGAGAAAATTGTCTGTTTACTTTTTTTTTTTGTTGCAGTAGAAGGCAAGCACTTTGGTTCTGTAGCTTTCACAGAGCTGTCAAGAGAAGTTTTCAAGAGTATAATAGATCTTCAAGAATTTTTTAAACGAAAGCTGAAATTGTGCTTCTAAACACACAAGGCAAAGCTAGTTCAGACTGAGGTGTGTTCAGGTTCACAAAACTACATTACAACGTTGCAGTAAATTTGACAAATATTTGTTTTATTTTTCAGTTCCTATTGCAAGTGCTGCCATTGCTGCTCTTGGTGCTGGCATTTCCTACTTGCTGCTTCAGGACTGAGATGTTCCACAGCTGAAGTTCATGACGGCTGAATGTCCATTTGTGTTCCATCATCCTTCAAGTGGCTGATGTACAGAATTAAATACTCTCAAAATGTTACCCGTGTACAGCTTGTGAAGACACTGCTGTATCGTTAGGTGCACAGATCCTCAAGACCTTGATAGTCGTGGGATCGAATCCCAGCTGCGGCGGCAAAATTTTCGACGAGGCGAGCATGCTTGAGGCCCGTGCTTAGATTTAGGTGCATTTTAATAGAACCCTAGATGGTTGAAGTTTTCGGAACCCTCTACTACGGAGTCTTTCATAATCATACTGTGGTCTTGGAACATGAAACCCCAGATATTAAGACCTGCCAGACGAATTTCATGTTGGTGTCTCTTTCATCGATTTCAATGCTTTAAAGATATTTTGCAATTAGCTGACTGTGCAGGTTGATCTTCTACAAACTCGACATAGAGAAAAAGCACCTTATCACCTTTCTTTGTGATTGAGATGAACATATGTACAGACTACCAATACTGAATTTCTGGCTGATGGCAGCCAGCTTGCCACTTGCATTGGTCTTCATAGAACTCATTATTGGAATCTACATATGCTGGGCTTATGACAACTTCCATTGAGCTCGCACATCACCCTGGCAAGAATGCCATGGTTTGCGATGCCACACAGACTTGCATCGAAGTAAAGAACCATTGCAAGTTTATTCTTAATCATGTTGAACAATATAAACGCTCCTATAACTTACTCATTCTCAGTAGTAACAGGCAAGATAATATGAACAAGTTTGCACTTTCTTGTATTTGGGAAGTTACTGTACTTCCATGAGCTTTGCTGTCATTAAGGCAGTCATGAACATTTTCTGGCCAACAGTACACAGGTTAATTCACAGTTGGAGGAAAGATGCAAGAGCCTAGCACCATGCATGGAAAGCAGAAAAAACTAAGTGCATGCATGGAACAACCCTGGGGCAATCCATTCCCCGTGTTGCCTACTATAGCACCATCCTTTCGCTTGGCTCACCAGTGGCTGCATTACCGTAGTCCTACCAGGAAATTGTAAGCAAAGAGCCATGCGAAAATTTAAAGTGCAACTACTTGTAAATCACTGCACCAAAGAATGAGGGCTGTATACCAAGTTAACGAAGATTTAATGCACTACTAGGCTATTCAAGGGAATGTAGTTTCTATATTTTTGTTTCTGAAATACTAAAATATGCTGATCTAATTTTGTATTTCATGTGTGATGTAGCAATATCTCGCTCCACATTTCCGGCCAGATGACAGAACTGTGGAAATGAAGCCACGCAGTGTATGTGCCACCCCTGCATTGTTGCATGCATGCACTTTGTTACAGCAGATTCCTGTGAATTACGCTGTGCGGAGCATAAGCGATATGCCCCCATCCTCCCTCCAACAGCAGACTTACCGGTACATACAGCTGATGTAGCCAGGAATCGCATACAACAGCGCAATGTTCAGTACATACAACTACTAGGTCCTCATCACTACTTACTCTAAAGTACTCCAACAGACTTTGTACATTAAAACAGGGGCACCACTGAAATTGAAGCTTCTGTGAAATTATTGCTCACAAATTTCAGTAACATTATTTTGAAAACACTCATTCCAAAATGATGAGACTAGCTTGTGTTAGCATAAGAACTTTCTTTTGTGCATGTCAAATTCCAGAATGACTGATAATGTCAACAGGCAGTGATGTAGCTAGCTATGTGCATATATGGTTACAAATACTGCTTAATATGCTCGGAAGTTTCCTTCCTATCACAGATAGCTGTAGTAATTGGGATTTTACCCAACTTAAAAAAAGAAAAAGCATGGCTTGATGCTGAAAACAAAACGTCAGTTCACTGATGCCACATCAATGGCAGGCTGAGAGTTCCAGCCATTGTCATCTTAGCCTTCCCAGCTGTTAAAAACAGCAGTGGCCTAGTTTAGTTTCTTGTTGAATGCAGCGAAAATTGGGTTCTCCAAGAGCTGTGTTGCTGTTGGCCGATCATTTGGATTTTCTTGTAGCAAGGAACGAATTACTGGCAGTTCCTTTTCGTTGCGGATCTGCTGGAACAGAGATGAAGCAAAATTATCAGGAGCTTTCAGGATCATGCAAAAGGTATACAAGATTACAGCATCAACAAATTTGTTGTCTAAAAAAAAAAAAACAAGTTAATATATATATATAGGCATGCTAAGCATGGAGATGGTTTCAAACATGATTGCATCACAAGAGTGCCCAAGTACCATTCTTAAAGCGCCTCCACTCTAAAATCTGAGACGTCAGCCATTCTATAAAAAAGGTAGCTTCTTATGACGCTGTACTGACAATAAACTAGTGTAAATCAAATGCCTAAGGAGAGAAAACAGCAGCCAGAGGAACAAAATCTAGGAATGTTCTGTCATTTCAATTTTCACCCGCTCCCCTCTTTCTGCCACTGCAGTATGCACCTTCATTTTTCAACAAACTACATTTCTTGACACATAAACTGTTGTCAGACGCATTAAACTACGATACTTGCAGCACTAAATAAAAAGGGAGGGGCGGTGAGCTTGTTTTTTGTTAGTCATAAATCCAACAGATGATTAGGCCACGGAAAGCAAAGGGAGAATTAAAAGTTGTCTTTAACTGTGGTGTATCGTAGAACTTGCGTGTAGTGGCAGCTGCACATACTTCTGTCATGCTGCATGTGAGCATTCGCGAAGTGTACGTGCCGGCGTGCGGCGGTTGATAGGAACAGCAAGAATGACATATTTTCAGGTGTTGTGCTGCCTACACAGAGTAAATTGTGATGCTGAAAAAGGGTTTGCAGAAAACTAACCTTCATATTATTAGATATCTTTGCGGCCAATGAGAAGCAGCCAATTGCTCTGTTGCTTAGGCTATTGCTTACGATTAACGCCATGTTTCGTGTCTTTCTTAATAGATGCCGTATTGACCGCATTGGTGCTTATCATGAAATTTTGTGTCGTACCAGAACGAGAAGGTTTTCGCGCCATAGGCACAAACAGCTTCATATACAAGATTCAGAACTGAATCATTATTACACTGCAATTACAATTACACGTTAGGCAGGCAGCTCGTACACGTCATTAATTCTCGGTGATGTGCTGGAGCGTGTTAGTTTTAATTTTTTTTACTGTGGCATTTTAACACTGTAGCTTTTGGTTGGATGCTTTACTATGCATATTTTTGAAGCATTTCATTTGGTATCGCTGCGAAATTCAGAGAGACGACTTCAATGCTGTGGCACCCCCCTTACCGAAAATTCATGCCACAACAAGAACACATATCAGGTCTTCCAAAAGCTGATGCCGTTTCAGAAATATCGTGTATCCCAACCAACTCTGTGCGTTATGAAATGTTAACAGCTGCTTCAAGTGTGTGGTACTTTTGTGAGTGAGAAACTGATAAACAAAAATTTGTTCCGAGAAATGTGCTAAGTTCGACTCGGCACGTTACCATGGTTACGCGCTGAGGTAATTTAGCAAGGGATCAATCAGTCTGCAAAGTAAACCTGTCTTACTGCAACGAGTTAAAATTATAAGGTAGGCCCTGAAGGTGAATATTCTTGGAATATGTTATTTAGAAGCACCTTTCAAATAGATATTGCATAAAATGCCAGCAACACTTTTGATGTTCACTTACATGTGCATGAGAACAGGAACTTCTTACATCTTAACCGTGCGATAATTTTATACATAACACGTAACTGAGCAAAATATTTTCATAAAAAAAGAGGGAGGGGGAAAGCAAAATACATCAAGTCGACGTAGGCTTTCCCTTAAGGAATACACTCTGAAATGAGGCAACAACACTTTCTCATCGTCATCACTGTCCTCCCAAGCACCCTACACTGCGCGCATGACATTCAGAGAGCTAAGAATGCTTTATTTGCAAGACCGAAAACAAACAGACTGAACTTATAACCTGGCGCAATGTTTCACTATCTTGGACTCGGTGACAAACTTGCACCTTCTTCCCGCTGTGAGGCAGTTCTTTGCACATAACTGTCAACCCAATAATAAGGAAAGGTTGTTAACATGTACACTCAAAGCTCAATATAACAAACCAGGATGTAACGAAATTTTGGCTATAACAAAGTAAATGAAAATTAGTCTTCATAGTAGATATAATATTAGGAATGTACCTTTATAACTAAATTTTAGATATAACGAGCTTATTTTCATTATAATGAGGTTTGAGTGTGTAGGCCTTTACACACCCACCCGACGACTCTATGCCCGAGTTATTACAATCAATGCAAATACAGTAGACTCTCAGTAAACGAAAATCTGTTATATGGAACTGCTGCTTAAATGGAACAATTGCCTCTATGATTGGTTTCATACTTGTATTGCACACCCCTGTTCACCTCTCAGTAAACAGAATTCCTGTTAAATTGAACATATTTTCCTGGTACCTTCAGGTTTCGTTTAATGAGAGTCTATTGTACAAGCAAGAATTTATAGCAGTGACAGCAACACGATTCGGAAACAAGCCTCTAATATGGCGCCAAATTGGGAACTTCCTCAAACCTCTATCAAATGGCGAAAAATTTGCGTAAGGTCTATTAAAGAGACCCTAAAGGCAAAGGAAAATTTATGTCACAGTGAAAGCTCAATGTATGACGTCTAATACTGCAATATTACCAATAGCATTGCCTTAATTACAATCAAGTTAAGCTAAATGTATCACATGACGTATGCAATGAGAGGGACACTTGCAAAATGATCAGATGATGTGAAAGTGCCTGCCTACAATTAATCACTAGTAATAAAATTAGTTGCAATAAGAAAACTTCTCATGCATCAAGAGACATAATAAAATGCTGCTTGTACGTTTCTGTTTTATTTATAGAAAGAGGGGAAAAAAACCCGGCTTTACTATGGGGGATGGCGCGAGTAGTTCAAAAGTTCAGATTTTGGGTGGTTAGGTGGTGCCATCTAGCAGGGCCCAGTTGAACTGAACAAGCAGAGTCATGGCCTCCGAGATGGTAGGAAATCGTTCAATGGCCGTTGTTGCTACTGTGGCTCCCGCTATTTTTGATCCGCTGCTACTAGTGTGGCGGCCGCGTAGTTTGGCACGAAAACGATGACATGCACGTAAGAGTCCGCTGTTATGCACAAATTATTTGAAGTGCACTAACGTGATGCGAACCATTAAAACATCATTTCAAAATAAGCACTTCCTTGGCACAAAACTAGCACTACGAGGTTTATGGTCCGCCATTTCAACAATTAACGTCGACTTAATATTTGCCTTTAGTATCCCTTCAAGCAATGCTTTCCCACTTACAGATTTCAGTGGTGACAATGGCACACTTAACGAAAAACTCAGTGCTAGTCAGGGTACAGAAATGCATCATCACACACTCATTTATATGCAATATTTCCAAAAATGATGCTTTCTTGATTGTGAACTTTGCAGCAATCAGTTGTGTCAGATATGGCAATTTAATCTTTTATTGAGGTCACTTGTCAAAAACGTCGCCCTATTTCGTTGTTGCCTTTTACTGTTTCACACGACTGCCGTTGCCTGCAGCAATGGAAGTGTTGCACTGCTAAGCATGTGAATGAAGCTCGATTCCTAGTACAGAGGAAAGAAAAAAATATATATGTGTATATGAGGGAGCATTGCACAATGTGATAAAAAGAAAAAAAAGTCAGGCATGTGCAAAGCTTCGCTTGGGTCTATTTTTACAGTCTACTGTCCTTTCAAATTCCATTCCACCTCGTCGAAAAAACAGCAGAGTATCGGTGGTTAACAGGGCTAGGATTGTGAACGTCTACAGGCATAGCAGCGACCTAAAGCAACTGGCCGACGCTTTAGGCATCAACATTAAAACAGCAAGATTTATTGCCACTACCAACAGAAACATCAAAGCATGGCAGGGGTTCAAATAGGAAGTTTGGAGATGACGTCGCGAGTACTTCGAGACGAATTGTCGACAAAAACTGTACATTTACATTAAAGCAGATAAAGGAGGCCCTGGAGGAAGAAATGCCAGAAGGAACAATCAGTGCAAGCACAGTCGATCGCTTTCTGGGTGCCCATTGCTACTCGATGAAGGTAGTGACGCAGAGGCCCACAGATCGCAACCGTGACGATCAAGCATAGCCGCATGCTGTACCCCCAATGGCTGCAGTCTGATGGAACGCGTGTTTGCCGCTTTATTTGGATGAGACTAACTTCAATATCTGGTATTCCAGGAACTTCGGCAGGGCAGCTAAAGGACAACCAGCTGTGCACATGACCACAACAACAAAGGGAGCGAACTTGAACATTATGGCATGCATGTCCGCCAACGTAGTTATGCACTGGACTGTGGTGGACAAAGTTCATTGGGTTGTTTTAATGATTTCCTCAGTGATGTTTCGGCCTGTGTAGAACTGGTGAGCCAAATACCGAAGCTGTATTCCTTTTTGATAACAACCTGCTCACGCTCGAGCAGAACAGGCGGCTTTGGCTAATTCCCTGCACTCTATTAAGTGCCTGCCAGCGTACAGTCCCTTCTTTAACCATAAAAAAAGCCGCAAAATTCAAGTCGCACGTGAAGCCTACCTGAGCGAACATTGTAATTTAGTTGTAGTGACACCGCAAGGCATGACGAAAAACTCCCAAGCATTTCCCCGAGGGTGAACATGGTTAAGTGCGAATGCACAGGGTGATGCTATGAGGGGGAGTAATGTTAAAATCTGTTGGCATTCGCCAGTGAGTTAACGTAAACTCCCCTGTGTGATCACATTGCGATTCCCAGGAACCATTAGACCCTTTTATAAAATCTTGGTGAGTTTACGTTTGCAGGCTGCTTCGCCCGCTTGCGCTCGGCATCACGGGCTCTTCGCCGTGCTGCCTTGTCTTCAACCGGCGCGACATCTTCAACGACACATGCAATGCTCGCATTCGATTGCGTTGTACTCATTGTTCGAGGTATTGCAGTCTAAATTGATGCCTGCGATGGATCTATACCTATGACGACTTGCCGATCTCGAGCAAGTTGTGGCGGCGCGCGCAGCCACGGAGTGGAGGGCAGAGCGCGCGCAATCACGTGGTGTGTGACGTT